TCATAATCTCCAAAAGTACCTATAATGTCATAGAATTTCTCACCAACTCAGCTATCCTTACACTCCTGAGCAAAAAAGGTCTCGCCAAACAAAAACATCGCCATATAATTGAAACCACTATAACTCTTTTCAACACTACCAACCATCCGTTTCATTGCTGGCCCGATGCCCTTCTCATAGTTGTCTACCTGATCAATCTCATGCCTTCTCTTAACACATATCCTCATTCTCCCTATCAACTCCTTCACAAACAACCCCTCTTATAAACATCTCAAAGTGTTGCTCATGCATTCCCCTTCTACCTCCTCCCACTCGTCACAAACTCAACATTAAATCTCCTCACTCTCTATTACTCGGGTACTCTGCCAACTACAATGGCTACAAATGATGATCTGGTTGGGTCTTAGGAATGTTGTATAGACCTAAGTAATGTCCAATGCTACCAAGAGGGGGGGGGGGGGTGAATTGGTATTTTTAAAACTTAACCCTCTTTGAAAGTTGTGTTAACCGAAATAAAAAATTTTTATAAAGTTTTTATAGAAAAAGTTTTCAACCATAGAGTTTTTTTAAACAAAAAAGAAATGCAGGAAAATAAAAGCCAATAAAGTAAATGACACAAATGTTATAAGTGGTTCGGTCAAACCAGACCTAACATCCACCCCTAGAGCACCCTCTGAGTATTGGCACTAATACCATAGTGTCCTCTTTTGCACCACAGCAAGCGAGAAGCCATTACCAAACACTCGTTCTACACTATCCCAGTGCGATAGAGACCGTCGTCCTTTTACACAATCCCTAGTGTGGCAAAGAACTCCATCCTTTCACACTCTCCAAGTGTGGCAGAGAACCTTCGCTGTTCACACTCTCAAGTTGGGCAGAGAACCCTTGGCTGTTCACACTCTCCAAGTGTCGGCAGAGAAAGGATTCTCCTTGAATCTTCTCCAACAGAAATCAGAGAAGAAAGAAGAAGATAAGTAAATCCCCAAATCACAATAGAGAGATTCTTGACTTTAACACAACCAGTGAACCTCACGCTCATGGGTAGGAATCCCCTTGGAATGCTCTCTCACATCTCTCCTTACTTTCTTCATAGCATCGAAGATCAAATGGCCAAAAATGAGTTGGGGGCAGTCTCTAATTGGACGTATATTATAAGAAAGGAAAAACCATGCCAAACTAAAATTTTCAAGTTTTCAATTCTGTATGCAGGACCGTTCCGTAAGATCGTGGATTGTCCTGGACGATCATTACTTAAAAGCCTTTGAAACGAACCTGTTTGTATATTGTGTAGAAATGTTTTGACAAGCTGATCGTCCCGCTACGAACAAGTTCGTCCGGACGAACGTATAAACCCAGGTTGGTTCCAAAATACTACAGAGAATATAGAAAAAACTGTCAAGTCGCTTATATCATCTGACAAATAGTTCGTTAGATGAAATCTGACAGAGAACAAATCGTCCCTGAGATAATTAAATTTCGTCTGACGAAATTCTTACAGAGCCCAAAATTGTCCCTGACGATAATTATTTTCGATGTACAAAAATTCTACAGAGAGAAAATCGTCCCGTGACGAACTGATATCGTCGGTACGATCAGTATAAACTTTTCTATATGATCTCCTATGTGTGGGGTATTTTTATTCAAACTCAATTACATTCACCCTCTCAATTCAAATGATAATTTTAAGCTTCAAAAACTAGAAGTATGGCTTGCGATTGATTTGAAGACTCGGTGAGAGTTTGATTCAACTGAAATGTTAGTACACACAAGAGCAAATACAAATCTTTTAAAATTGTTAGGAGATAACTACACATTTGAATAATAATATTTGGAATCATCAAAACTATACAAGTTGCAAAAATGTAAAACATGCAAATAGCAACTATCTTAACAGATCTCACCTCTTATAGCATTCTCATATCTAAGCATGTCACCTTTGATGAGTCTACATTTCCTTGCTCCTCTTCTTCCAGCATCACCTCCAACACTCCCATCACTCCACCTCTCAATCCTAATCTCCTTATTCATACATCTCTTATCAATTCCTCCATTTCATCCAATTCTCCCATCACCCCCTCCATACCATCACCATTGTCTCCTACTCTCGCTCCTGATCTCTCCTCCAATACCATTCGGTCTCTCACACCTCCCACCTTCTCCCCTCTATAGATCCATCACCTCCTACACCCACACCTCCTCTTCCCATATGCTCCTCTCATCCCATGGTTGCATATTTGCAAATGGGTTCCTTAATTAAAACCCCATCAACTTCTAAATCTCACTCATCAAGCTTCACCTATCCCACTCGCACCCACCTCCTATACTAAAGCATCCAAATATCCCCAATGGATGGTAGCAATGGCCTCCGAATTTCTTGCTCTTCAACAACAAGGCACTTGGCCCCTTGTCCCTGCTCCTTCTAACATCACTATTCTTGGATTTTAATTTACTTACAAAACCAAATCAAGCACCAATGGGTCCATCACAAGATGCAAAGCTCACCTTGTAGCTCAAGACAATCATCAAGAATATGAATTGAACTAAAAAGAGATGTTCAGTCTCGTCGACAAGTTCCCAACTTTTTGCGTACTACTGATGGTTTATATGCATAACAATTTACCCATACATCAACTTGACATCAACAATGCTTTTCTTCACGGCCCAATTCATGAATAAATATACATGAAATAACCTTGTGGGTTTGAAGAATCGCAACATCCCCATCATGTTTTCCTTCTTAGGAAATCCATCTACGGTTTAAAACAAGCGCCCCGACAATGGTTTCATACCTTTTCTCAATCCCTTCTTTCGTTCTGATTTCAAAAAAGTAATGTCGGTCCCTCCCAATTCATATATCATAATAACAACAATCAAGCTTACTTGCTTATCTTTGTCAATGATATTCTTCTCACCGACAATCATTCTTCGACTCTTCTTCAAATCATTTCATCTCTTAGCAAACACTTCTCTATTAAACATCTCGACAAACAATCCAAATTTCTTGGCATCAAAATTAATCATCACCCCACTCATTTCCATCTCTCTCAACCTTCTTACATTGAGGCTATTCTGCAACAAACCAGTCTCCTGTACTGCAAATTGATTTCGAATCCCTCCTATACGAAGCTACCCGCCAATGTTCTCATTGATTTTCACTTCTCTGATCCCACCTCATATCGCCAACTTATCGGCTCCTTACAATATCTTATTATCACTCGCCTTGACATATCCTTCACCGTAAATCATCTTTGACAACATCTTCACAATCCCTTACCCATACATTTTCTTCAACTCAAATGTCTTCTTCGTTACATTCATGTCACTCTTACATTTGGTCTTCCCATTTATAAAACACCACTTAACCTTCAAATGTTCTTCGACATTGACTGGGCCACGGATTCGACTACTCGTCGATCAACATCTGGTTATTATTAATTTCATGGGTATACGATCATCTCTTGGACAGTCAAGAAACAACAAGCGGTAGCTCGTTCCTCAACGAAAGTGGAATATAGAGCTTTAGCTGTAGCTACTTTAGATTTCATATGGCATAGAAGACTTCTCTGAGATTTTTGCATCTCCCAAACCACTCCTACAAATATACACTATGACAGTACATCCGCCATAGCTCTAGCCAACAATCCTGTCTTCCACGCCAAAACAAAACATATCGAGGTTGATGTGCACTTCATCCGAGACCACATTCAAGCTAAGGAAATTTGAGTAGTCCCTATTTCCACTCAGGATCAAATCGTCAATGTTCTCACTAAACAGCTTTCAACACCTCAGTATCATCTTTTTCGGTCTAAACTCACAATTCTTCCTTCAACATTAGTTTGCGGAGGGCGTAATAGCGCAACACAACAAGCAACAACTACAGTCTCAATCAACAATGTCTGAACAAACTCACGCTAACGCCACTGCAATTACTACCATTGGATCATAACGATCTCCTCTCATCTTTGTCGCTGGTCATTCTTGTATTGGCTCTATTTGTATATATATGGATATTATGCCTCCTAGTTGGAAATTAGCCTAAAACTTCATTTGCTTTAGTAAGTCCTCCTTTCTTTCTATATCTTTCTCTTGATATTGTCTTTAGAATGGAAGACAAGTCATATTTCCTTGGGACAGGTTATGAAGAAGTAGATTATACGACCTCTAAAATGAAAAAAGCATATTTGAAGAATTATATATAATCTTGCCCATAAGAAATACTTAGCTAAGGCTTCGTTTAAGATTATTTTTTTATTGCTTTCTAAAGCAGGTTTTTATTAAAAAAATTTCTCTAACTAAAAATTTTTATACTAAAAATATTTTTTAAAAAATATTAAAAAAGCTATCCAAAAGAAACCTAAATGTACCTAAGTTTTGAAATGAGTATTATCTTGGTTTAATATGCAGATACAAGATTGGATCAGTTATTATTTCATCAATAAGAGACAACCTTATTATTGAAGCAAAAGTAACCTTACTCATCAGTGGTATATGCAATGCATGAAATAATGTATCTTTTTAAATTATTGACTCAATATGAGAGATTTAATTAATTGGTGTAAGACTCCTAAGATCTGCATATGTATGCATCAGTTGGAAGTATTTATTGATTATAAATTTAGCAGATAGTTTCTGAATGAAAAGGTCTATCAAATCACTTCTAAAGACTTCACTTGTGATGATTTTTTTACTATTTTTTAAAACAATTTTTTAATAAAAAAATTTCTTGCACAAAAAATTTTTGTGCAAGAAAGCGGTCATAGAAAGAAGTAAGAAGGTTGTCAGATGACTTTTCTTTCTGATTTCAAGAGTTTTCTATACTAAAAACAGCTTCACAAAATAATAATAAAACTGTCCCAAACAAAACCTATATCTCCAACAATGCTAAGTTATTATAAAATCATAAGCTTTGGGAGAAACATGCATTACACCAAATAAAAAAAAAACTCTTTATTTTCTAAGAAGAACACTTAGACGGCGTAGATGATGCCATGATGGATCAATCACTTGGTGATGACATAGACGGCGTAGATGATTCCTGGGAGATAGCCGAAGAGGGTGAGCACAAGGCAGATCCAGAACTCCTCCTGCTCATCGATAATCAGCACATTAATTTGTTTAGTTACGATTAAGGTGTTAATTAATTATACTTAGCATATAATTACCTTACAACCAAACCTCAGGAAGACGCCGAGAGGTGGGAGAATTATTGCCAGCAGAATATCGATAAAATCTCTCCTCGCCATTTTACTTTTAATTTCCTCTCTCTCTCTCTCTCTCTCTCTCTCTCGCAGAGGAAATCTGGCGGCTTATAAAGGCGAAAAATAGAGAGAAATAAGTCGAGGAAATCGCACTAAAATAAATTAATAATATAAAAAATTGAGGGATTTCTATATATTTCATAACATTTATATATATTTATATATCTATATTTAAATTCTAAATATTTATATTTTATATAAATATTTGAATTATATTAAATATATTTAAAAAGTAATAATATTTATTTAAATAAATTAATTGCTATAATATTTTTATATAGTTTAAAATTTAAATAAATAAATATGTTAAAATTTAATAATTTGATTTTTATTCAAAATAAAATAAGGATGGCGCTGAGTTTCCAGTGGGATGGGCAAAGTGGGAGTAGACGGCTTCTACTCTTATTTTTAATATATTATCTTTTGGCTTTAGCTCTGTTTTTTTAGTTACTCATCTTTTCAGACGCGTATGGCTGTCCGTCGCTACGGCAGCTTCTTATGAGCAAAATTTTAGGAAAATTTTGACCTAGATCTGGTCAAATTATTTTATAAAAATAAATATCAAAATTAATAAATTTATTTTAAAATTAATATAATTCAAAATTTAATGGATTTTTTTACCGCATTCATTTTGAAGTTAATTTGATGATATTAAGATTTAGGCTCCTTAAAATTATTTTTTAATAAAAAAATTTCTGGAAAGTAGAAAAAATGATGGCCTAAAGTTGTCCCAAATAAAATCCTATTCATATCAAAATTTGATTAGAATATCTTTTTCATCATATTTTATTTAATTCAATAATTTTAAGATCTACACAGATCAAATAATTATTAAAATCTTTTTTCAATAAAAATTTGATCTAAAATTTCATAAGAAAAAAAGAAGACTTGAAATTTTCTCAGCAAAAACAAGAAAAAAATTCTCTATATTTCTCCTCAACCAAATACGTGGTTGAAAATAAAGAAAAAAATTGGGAGTAGTGCTACATATATTAAAATTTTAAATTTATAAATATATTATTTTCTGAAATGTTTTTTATTTACATTTTATTTTCCTTTTTTTTCTTTTTTATTTTCATTCAACTTTTTTTATTATACTTTATCTTTTTTAATTTTCTTTTTTCCCAATTACTAATAACTTCCCCTCTCCCTTCTTCAAATGTAAATACCCCCTCGCTAGAAAAAAATTTTGCTACTCTCATTAAGTCTTTGTTCAGGATGTCTTTTTTATTGCTTCTTAAAACAGAATTTTAGTTAAAAAAATTAAAATTTATGTACAAAAACTTTGTTTTTAAAAGCAAGAAATAAGCCCCTCCCAAACAAAGCCTATGTCTCAAATTCTTTTTATTTAAGAGATGCCTCCTAGTGTATTTTAAAACTAGCACATATTTTTTCCTTCATAGGACTGAGCAAAATACTATCATATATAGGCAATCCATATCCCTCTTGCATTATGTAGTTGGCCTCATCAACAAAACTATATAGCCCTTCAGAATTGTGGAAAAAATTCATCTCTCTCAATTTCTTCTTTATTGGTTTTGGTTTCACCTCCTAAAAGAGGCTTGATACTACATTGTATGAGCTATATGCAGATCCCCCTTCATAGGCTCCAATAATATTATCTTAGATAGGTGGATCATATTCTCTTTACATGATCTAGTGTTTTATCTATCAAGAGTACCAAGCCACCCTACAAGTGGAGTTGTGAGCGACTCCCATAATTTTCAAGATCGACAGTAGAACTCCGATCTTTATCTTAAAATAGGGTGGACTATCTCTGTTTTGAGATATTATGATTCAAAATATTTTGATCATACCCCATTTTGAAGATTAAATTCTCTCTCAATTAAGAGGTGATTATGGTAAAAGACTATCATAACAATAATGATGTAAAAAAAATGTTAACAAAACAACTCTAATTCATAGAGTTTAAATTTCAACTTAATAATGATGTTTTGCATCAATATTGATGATGCCTTGTACTAGCTTAACTATTGAAATAATTGAAATTATTTAAGATTTATTGTATTTTTCGTGCAAGAGTAATTAAGATTTATGAGAATTCATCCTCCAAAGAAATAAAGTTCTATTATATCCTTGAGGCATACTTGAAAATTTCAAGATATTGCCCCCCTAGTTGGAGTACAATGTCCTCAATTTTTAAAACCTTCTGAATTTATATTTTTTAAGATTTTTTTAGAATAGAATAATACTATAAATTCTAATGTTTTGAGTCATCTGAAGTTTTCATAGAAGTGAAAAAAAAATCTATACATTTTGTGACTTATGCCTTTTGAATTTTTTTGCAGCACAAAAAACCTGATTATAAAAGAATAACTAAACAAAATAATCTTGAGAATCCTGTAACTAATCAATCTAATTCTCTTGATTCTTTGCCCAGATATGAAATCATTTAAATCAAATATAATGAGCTAAAAAGGCTAATAAGTCACTAAATCCTACAACTGAACTTAAAGCATGATAAAGAAACATTATGCATGTTGTTAGTAAGTTCAAAACAATAGCAATCAATATAATCTTGAATAGGGAAATATTTAAGACTAAGCATGATTTGAAATGTAATTAGTAGATTTAGCATCAATTTTAAAAAAATTAATCTAGGCATAATCGCCTGTTTAAACGACGATTAGGATTTATAGCTAAATAGCTAAACTAAAGAGCGATTTATTAAATAGAACAAAATGGGGTGATTTTGGCCTCTCTAAAATAAACAGCCGAAGTCCTACACTACAGGAAAACCACACATTTCCGGCGGCCTTTTCCGGCGGAATTTGAGCAGTTTCAGGCGGTTTTTTAATTTTCCGGCGGTTTTCCGACGGCTTTCTTGCCGCCGGTAAAAACGGCGTAGGAAAATAATTTCCGACGGCTTTTTCCGGCGGCAAATGTTTCCGACAGCTTGCCGGCAGACACAAACCGCCGGTTGAATAAAAAAAAAAAAATTCAGGCGGCTTGTCGGCGACCCCCTACAGCCGCTCCCGCCCCCGCCAGCTTCCCGGGTGACCCGATCCCGTCGGCACGCCAACGCCCGCTCCGGCTGTCGCGCCAGACCGCGGGTCTCGCCGGACCAGACCGAGCCAGAGTGCGCCGGTCCACGCGCGTGAGTTAGCCCGAGCCCTAGTGCCCCAACTCGCCCGCTCCCGCGCCTGTCTTCGCTGAGATTCGAACCGTAGACCTCCTCACCCGTAGCCTCGATGCCTGACCAATGCGCCGATTCTGCAAAATGGTTAAATTTAAGTATGTTTTATTTATATTAAAACAGTCTGAATATTATAATTAAACATTATTTATTTAAAATTTTTATTTTAATTGATAATTAAAATAAACTAGTTAAGTAAAGCCGCCGGTAATCCGTCGGAAAGCCGCCGGAAAATTCCGCGGGAAATTTTTGCGGGAAATTAGTGGTCGCAAAATTTTGCGGGGAAATTAGCAGTCGGAAAGCCGCTGGTAATCCGTCGGAAAGCCGCCGAAAAATTCCGCGGGATAATTTTGCGGGAAATTAGCCGTCGCAAAATTTTGCGGGGTAATTAGCCGTCGGAAAGCCGCCGGTAATCCGTCGGAAAGCCGCCGGAAAATTTTGTAGGAAAAAAGCCGTCAAAAACCGCCGGAAATCCGCCGGAAAGCCGTCGGAAAACTGACCGCCGAAAAGCCATCGGAAAATTTTGCCGGTAATAAGTGATTTTCCTGTAGTGCTAGGTCTCGATCTGTTTGGCCTCTCTGATCCCGTCGCCCTTCGCTGCCAAAGATTGATGTTTAAGGTAAATTTTAATGTCTTTTTTGCTTAAAAATTTTGTATTTTTAGATTCCTTTCCTAAATAGAAGGTAGAATAAGGAAAAAAAAAAAGAAGAAAATGCACCATGTAAAATTGTAGAATGAAATAGTTTTAGGTGAGTCTTATATTATATGTGTTTTTTTTTAGAAATCCATAGATAAATAATGCAAAAAAGCTAAGTCTTAATGAATTAATATTATGCATTTTTTTAAGTTTGTTAATTCTTAATCATGCAAAATGGGGAAATGCTCAATTTAATATTTTTGTTAATATTGTTGATATCCAATTTAATAGAAGATTTAAGCTTATTATGAGTTGAAGTGGCTAAATGTTCAAGTTTTAGAAAGCAATGAGTATACTATTTGAATTAAGGCACTTTGGTGTTTAAAAACAAAGTTATTTTTTGACAATCCATAAATTATTTAATCATTTTTTTTATTTGTTTGAGAGTCATTGAGCTCATATTGGTCAATAGCTTTGCTTGATGATGAATTTCTAATATAATTATTCCTTAATTTTGTCAAAACATAAGTCGATAATTAAATCATTATTTATTTGTATTAATAATTATTCCTTATTTTTAATAGATATCATATAATTTATGATATTGTTAGTATATATAACTGAATAAAAATAATTTCAATTTTTTAATTGAGAAAGTAGAAGAGTTTTTTGTTAACCTTTTTATGGAATTATATGGAAACTTTAATATTACTATTTATAACATTCATATTTAATGAGTTAAATGATTATATTAGCATAGTGAAATATTATTAATTGAAATTATATTAGAACATAGTGTGGAATGTTATGAAGTTGATGATTGTCTCGATGAAATAAACATATCGTTTCAAATTTATTTTAAAAGTAGGTATTCAAAATAAGTGTACAACCACCATCTTTTATGTTATTATATGACAGAGAGTTAGCCTTAGATGGTAGTTTTTTTGCACACATATAATGGTTATAAATATCTGCACCTACAAGTTTCACTCAAATTGAATTTGAAGCAGTTAAATGGCAGAGTTCTTAGGGCACTAAAGTTTGATCTCTCAAAGTTAACGGTGCCCATTATGGATCATTTTCTAGTGGGTAACCAATTCATGGCCTCGAAAGTTGAGGATAATGAATGTTGTGAATTTGCATTATCACTGACTACTTCTAAAGTTCTAATTCTGTATGTGGAGTATGAGG